GCATGTCTGTATCTACTTTTATAGTACCATGTGGAATAGTTTCACAATGCTAAAAATGCCCTGTGCCCCAACATTCATGCCCTTTCCACTCTTTCTGAATCCCTGGCAACCACTAATCTTTTTACTGACTCCATAGTTTTTCATCATTCAGAAAGTCATATATTTGGCATCATACCTTTTTATAGTCTTTCCAGACAGGTTTCTTTCATTTAGCAACATTCATTTAAGGTTCCTTCATGTTTTTTTCATGACTTGATAGTTCTTTTTAATATTGAATAGTATTCCACTGTCTGAACATACCTCAGCTTATCCATTCATACTTACTAAAGAATATCTGGATCGCTACCAAATTTTGGGAATTATAAATAAAGCTGCTGCTAAAAAAATCTACGTGGATGTTTGTGATATGGATATAAAAATTTTCAAATCATTTGATAAATACCAAGGAGCACAATTGCAAGATTGTATGGTACAAGTATATTTAATTTTGTAAGAAACTGCCAAATTGTCTTTCAAAGTGACTCTACCAGTTTGCATTCCCACCAGTAATGAGCGAGAGTTCCTGTGGCTCCATGTCCTCCCCAACACTGCGTGGTGTCAGTATTCTGGAAGTCTGACTATTCTAAAAGGTGTGTTGAATGTTCACTTCTTGGTGATGTATGTGGTAGAGCATCTTTTCATATGCACATCTGTCACCTGAACGTCCTTGGTGAGGTGTCTGTTCAGATTTTCAACCATATTTTAATTATGTAGTTTGTTTACTTATTATTGAGTTAATTAAAGAGTTCTTTGTATTTCTTGGATACTAGCCCTTTATCAGATATGAGTTTTGCAAATATTTTCTCCCAATCTGTGGTTTATCTTTTCATTATCTCACCAGTGTCTTTCACAGGGTAGAAGTTTTTGGTTTAAATGAAGGACAACTTAACAATTTTTCTTTCACTAAAAAGTCATCATCACACCGAAGGCCATCTAGGTTCTCTCCTGTTATCTTCTAGAAGTTTAATAGCTTTGATTTTTCACATTTAAATCTACGATCCACTTGGAGTTGATTTTGGTGAAAAGTGTAAGGTCTTTATTCAGATTCATGTTTTTGCATGTGAGTGTCCAGTTGTTTCAGCAGGAAGTCTGGATTTTTTTATATGAAGTGTTCTAATTTTAAAGATCTATTCAAGTGTTTGTTGTTGTTGTTTGCTGGTAGTGGCAGGGGTGCAACTACAACTCCCTTCCCCTAATACATGATTTTAGACTGTATTTATCCATCCTGGATCATCTCCACTCCCTCGTTCCCCTTTCCTGGAATGCTCCTTCACTTACCCATCCAAATCTTCCTTAATGTCCACCTCGCCTTCATCTTACTTTTCCTAATACTTTGACCTGATGCATATGCTCACAGATATTCAGTTAATATTAACCCCCCCTTTTTTTTTTTTGGTAGTGGGGATTGAGCCCCAGGGCATTCTACCTTTGAGCTACATTTTTTATTTTGAGACAGAATCTCACTAGTTTCTGAGGCTAGCCTCTAGTGATCTTCCTGCCTCAGCCTCCCAAAGCAGCTAGGATTACAGACATGCACCATTATGCCTGGTGACAGTGAACTCTACACATACTTAAAAGCTATAAAAGTCCCATCTCACGTTGTCATATGCCACTGCATTTTCTCCTTAGTCAAACTGTACACTCAGGAAGGAAAAGAATTGTTTTAGTCAGATTTTTAGCTGCTGAGACTGAAAGACCCATCCAGAGGAGGGTCTTTCAACTGTAGAGGAGGAAAGTTTATTTGAAGGCTCATTGTTTCAAAGGTCTCAGTCCATTGACAACCAGGTCATTCCTCAGAGCTCAAGGTGAAGCTGAACATCATGGTGGAAGAGTATGGCAGAGGGAAGCAGCTCACATGGTGATCAGAAGGAGTGAGAGACAGACTCTGCTCTCCAGATACAAAAAATATACCCCACAGCTATGCTCCCAATGAACCACTTCCTTCAGCCACACCCCACCTGCCTCCAGCCGCCACCCAGTTAATTCCATCAGGGCTCAATTCACTGATTAGGTTAATGCTATAACCTAGTCATTTCTCCTTCAAACCTTATTGCATTGTCTCACATGTGAGCTTTTGGGGGACATCTCACATCCAAACCATAACAAGAATTCTCCTTTTCTGGTTTCCCCTAGGAAGTTTAGTACAGATTTAAGCACAAAACAGATTTAGCAAGATTTGCTGATGATTTCAGACCAGCTGAACTTTGGTACTGGTTTATCAACTGTCCTTTGATTTTTAGGAATCTAGCTGAAAACCTGCCAAAGATTTGAACACAACAGCCTTGCCCTCCCTGGCCTGGGCAGAATGATGGCAACACTAATTCTGATGCCTGATTTAGCTTTAGGTTCATGCCAACAAGAGAACCTTAATCTCCTTGGAGAGCTAGGAAAGGTTTACCAAAGAGAAAAATGTATTATTGGAGGCACCAAAGTACACTGAGTAACAAATGTTTCTTTCATGATGATTTTTACATGGCCATGATGATCGTCCAGTTCACTGTGAAAATGAATAAATGAAATAAAAAGAACAAACAGTTTCCTGGTGGCTGTCTCCTACCTTATGCCTAAATAATCACCAAGCTAATAGCAGCCCTCTGTCTCTGCCTTTGTTTTATGGTTTCCATCTGCATCAAGTATTCTCATTCCAGGATCCCTGTAAACCTCTAACTGAACAACAATGGAGGGAGTGAAGGGCTCCAGCTCTGGGTTCTTGGTTGGCTGTGACTGGGCCTGGTTACCCTGGCATAGTGTGCTGACAGCCTCATCAGAATTAATTACTCAGGGGAAGTACCATGGCTTCCATCTGGCAGGAATGCCTAACTTCCATTCATGGTCCATCCAGGCAAATCCCAGGCAGAAGGACCTTGGATTTGAGGGACAGCTAGTGAACCTGTTTACTAAACTCACAGGGGCTTTGGCATGGCTCCTACTCAGGGACCAGGCAAACGCCAGCACCAGCACTGGCACTGCTACTCCCTCAAGGAACAGCCTTCCCTGGCCTCAGGATGCACAGGGGGAGTCAGAAACTCATTCAGCTTGGGGACAGAAGTCTTGTTGGAAACACACCTACACGTCTACCTCTAATCCTCTTTTAAATACAAACAAGTAGAACTATTTCTGGAATCACCCTCCCTTCCTGGGAAAGACTCCCAAATCTGCATTAGGCAGAGAATAGTCCACCTGGATGGTCTGAAGTTGGCTGAGTGATCTTCAGTATGTTATAAAACACAAATCACATGTAGATATCTTAAAATATTAAAAATCCCAAGGCTTCTCCTCTAGGACCTGTTTAAAAGATATATTCCCCCTTTCATTTAGCTGCCCAAACAACCTCTCAGTACACACTGTACTCAGTGGTGACTCAGGGGCCCTGAGTTACCAGCCGCTAAAAACAAAGATTAAAGACCATTAGTTGGTATTGGATGGCTAAAGTCAGAGGGTGTTAAGCAACCTGGGCAAGAAGTTCAACTTTGCTCATGCTGAGCAAGAAATAACTTTAGCCACTGCAAGGTACAGAAACGTAAACCAAATGGAGGAAAAGGAAGGAAAAAAAAAGAAAGGGAAGAAAATAGAATCCTCTTTAATTTTAGGAAATCAGGTATAGGAGAGCCTGAGGAAACATGCAGAAAGGCTGGGTGGGTTCCTCCGCAAGTTCATTCATAGAGAACCAGAAGAAACCCATTGCCCAGAAGATGGACAGATTCAATAATTTTAAGCTCTTGAGGCATGGTCCACATCTTGGTGAACAGACACACTACCAAAAAAGGGCCAGGAATTAAACTTCCTGAATGTCCATACAATGTAAAGCTGCCAACAACTAAAAGAAGACCTGATTTTTCTCAAAGATTTTACCTTACACGGTAGTTACCTATCCATTACATGTACTTTTAAAGGCCATTTTGGAGTCATTTTTCCTCTCAAACATTTATTTTCCCTTAGTCTGTTCTAAGGCAAAAAATCATTAGACCCATTTTGCAGATCTGTAAATATCTTAAAGAGATGGAACCTCTGGGTGCTTTCATGCAACCACAGCACTCCGAGGGTCAGGAGAAGGCTGCTGACATGCTGGTGTCTCACCCAAGTGCTGATGTCTCTCCAAGTGAAACAACTGCCTGGAGACAATCCGTGGCTGAGCCTCAAGTTATTTTCACTAGAGAAAGGCAAAGTCAACTCTGTTTTTCTTGACTTTTATACAGCTGTAGCCTGAGAGTCCAGCTGTTCTGGTCATGGCCTCACATTCTTTCTGCAAAGGCTCTAGCTGACAAGATTTATAGGATGGTCTGAAGAAGCATGCTAAGCAATGCTGGATAAATTCACAGGGGAGAACTTTCTGGATCTAGTGGAATAGTTTCTGTGGGGGATTGGACAACCAGTCCCCACACTGCCTGTCTTGGCTGTAGTGCCTAAGGCTCAAGATAAAGCCAAAAAAAAAAAAAAAAAAGGCTCTTTCATAGTCTCTGGTGAAAGATCATAGTTATACTAAGGTTTGAGGATATGAAGACCCAAAGGCCAACTAGGGGCTCTTCCTTTTTGGAAGCGGGCACAGAGGTAGCACTGAACATTTCCAACATAGTCAGGGGAAGGGAAACTGACACAACATGAATGAAACATACTTGGCTACTGATCTACAGAGCTACTACAGTCCCTGGATATTTATGAAATTAAGCAAATTTCATGCCCAGCAGCCAGCACAGGCAATAGCCATAACCAAAGCCATCTCAGCAGGACAGTAAATCAAGTTCACCAAGGCCAAGAAGCAGTATGTTAAGAATAGTGACTCCCCTTTGAGATGATGATACTTTAAAAAAATCCAACAAACCAGCCAACCTCCAAGTTTAGGGAAAAGGTTTAAATCATGTTCATGGGACTATGGCCCAAAGTCAGGTGGGACCAGAGAGTAAATTCTGGCACAATGGCTGACTGGGGCCCTTGTGTAGCAAGTGGGTGGACGTTATACTTACAGTGAGTTGGGCCGGGTGGGCTTGACCACATCCAGGTCTGGGTCACTGGAGTTCATGTTGGGCTGTAGGCTGCTGCTGGAATTAAGGACGCTGTTTGCATTTGATGAGACAGATTCCAAACTGGAGTTGATCATGCTGTTCCTTTGTTCCTCTGCAGGGAAAAATGCCACAAGCCCCATGTTAATATTGTATAGGGACAGTCTATTTCTACATAAAACAAAAACTGAGATTCTTGAAGCTTAGAAAAAAGACATAGGAACAGGCTAAAATAAGAGTGAGAAGGAAAGAGTCAAAAGGAAATGGATGACATGAAAATTTGGAGCAAAATCCCTTCCTCATCTTAACAGGATATACCTTTAATATGAGCCAGACTTTTTCCGTAAGAGTGGTCTTGCCATGGCACCTGAAACTGTGTCTTTTTTTGACTAGTGGGCCCCTTGCATCCAAATAGATGCCTTGGCTTCCATGACACTTGCCTTTTATCTCACACTCTGGCCTTTACTATTAAACAGGCCATGTCCTACCTGCATTTTATAGCACCTCACTATAGAATATCTACTATTTGGCTACCAATTTCCTTATGACTCAGCTCGTCTAAATTCCTTACCCCACCCCAGACACATCCTTCTGGGTTGCCTCCAGCTTCACATATTTGATGTTTAACTGCAAGTTAATTCTTCTATATATAGGGCTGTAAGAGGCTGCACTGTAGTCTGCTTACAACCAACAAAAACCCCAGTCCATGGTCCAAGCAGTCACAATCATGCTTGGAGAACGGGACCAACCCAGGAGAGAGGAAACCTGAACTCTCTTCAAGAACCCATCTCTGGTGGTTGTGTGGCCTCAGGCAATTTCCATTTGATTCAGATTCTTGATTAATGAATCTACAAAATGGGGAGAACAAGAATTGCCTTGCACAGCTCATGGAGCTGTCACGAGGATCAAGTGGGATCATATGCAGGAATGTGTTCTGTAAACTTTAGAATACTGCTCAAAGAAAAGAACTTTCTGTTTCTTCTCATCTTTAAAAACTTGGAACCATGCATTGAAAAAAACATTTTGGAGCTGATGTAGCTAAATGACACAGGCACCATGGGTGTAGCAAAATACAGATTTGGAATGTCATTCTCATCCTGCAGACATTACAGATATACCATATGAAATCAACAGATGTTTCTGGCAATTATTTCACTTGTCAAGAAATAAATGTAGAAGACTGGGGTTGTGGCTTAATGGTAGAGCACTTGCTTAGCATGTGTGAGGCACAGGATTCAAGCCTCAGCACCACATAAAAAATAAATAAAATAAAGTTATTATTTAATCTACAATTAATTTTTTTTTAAAAAAAGGAAGAAATGTGGACAAATTCTTAATTCTTACTGGGCCTTTCTGACATGAGTTAGATGTATACCATAACCCTAAAAGGACAGACTGGAATCACTCACATGGCAACTGACAGGTCAACATTGGAACTTGAATCTCTTTAAGTAATAAAGGGGGTAATGTCATAAGAAATGCTTTCCCCTTTGCAACAGTCATGTCATGTCTGTAAAAACAAATTATGCTTATATAATGATGTTAGAGTAGTCTTCACAAATCTCTCTCTCTCTCTCTCTCTCTCTCTCTCTCTCTGCCCACCCCCTGCCCCCACCAATATCCCTAGTATCTTGGCAAATTCTAAAAGCCCCAAAAAACAGACAAAAGATCTATGAGGTTACTGGGAGGTTCCTGAACTCTTAAGCAGATGTTGATGAAAGTAGATTATTCAAGTGATTATTGCGATTTAGAATTATTCATAATTTAAGGGCTTAACTTTCAAACAGAAACAATCCAAAAGAAAGAGAAACCGTAAGTTAACATTGAGCAGGAAGGTTAATAGGGCCTGTAAACAGGAACTTGCTACTAGGAAGAGAAACAACTCTCAAATTACATAATTAGGGGATCATTGAGAAAATGGATACACCACCTACCAGTATGAATCAGTATAAATAAAGTAAAACTTTCCTTGCACAAAATACTTATTTTCAAGATTCCTGAAGAGTGAGAAGAGCTCAAGACCACCATGTAAAGAAAGGGAGTGAAGATGACATTCCTGTGACCTTCAACTGTAGACTTTTTCTGCTTCATACACTAGGAGAGGTGAATATTTTATTAATTTTAGTTTAAGAAGTGTGAGGGGCCAAGTTTGCATGACACAGTTGTTTGAATTCTTAGGAAGGAGAAGAGAATAAGTATAGCTCATGTCTCTCTTGTGATTATATTCACTTTGTTCATGAGAGAGTTATGATCCTACAAATCAAAAACAATATCATTCTAAAGTTATATTATTATTATTTTGGCAGTACTAGAGATGGAAACCAGAGGCACCTTACCACTGAGCTACATTTCCAGATCCCCCACCTTTTTTTTCTCTAATTTTTAATTTTTTTAGTTGTAGATGGACATAATACCTTTACTTTATTTTTTATGTGGTGCTGAGGATTGAACCCAGTACCTCACATTTGCAAGGCCAGCACTCTACCACTGAGCCACAAGCCAAGCCCACCCAGCCTTTTTTTGAGACAAGATCTCACTAAGTTGCAAAGGCTGGCCTCAAACCTGTGATCCTTCTGCATGAGTCTCTCAATCAAGTTGCTGGGTTTAGAGTCCTGCACCACCATGCCTAGCCTTGATATTATGTTTTTTTTTTTTTTTAAATGTTATCAGGTCATTTCCCCCCTCCCTATTATTCATTACAAAAAAGGAATATCTGAGATGAAAACTTCCTCAAATTTCATTTATTCAATGAATATTTATTGAGAGCCTATTGCATATCAAATAGGCTCAATAGATTTCTACCATAGTTTTAAAATTTTGTTTAGACTGATATTTATCAACTTGTACAAATTTGTCTATGTCTACCTTCCTCAGTAGACTATAAGAAACTTAACACAAAGCTTTAAAACCAAAATTGAAAACAACATTATATAAAGGTGTTTTGCTTTCTAGAATATCAGAATCCCGATTTTCATAAGATATAATTCTAAAAACTGGATTTAGATAAGAGCTTTTAAGAACATGTCTATTGTGACAGTATTGCAGACTGGTGTCTCATGAGCTAGTAGGGAAGTCTCCAGCAAACAGAGCACAGTATTTGTCTGAAATAAACCTGTTAAAGAAAGAAGATAGTGTGGAGAATAAGAACTTGACCCACTATGGACTAGAAAAGTCAACAAAATAAAACAACTAATTCAACTTGAAGGTTTCTAGTATTTCATTTACTGGAGGATATAGGCATTCTTTTCTTAAAAAAGGAATTCTTTTTGAGGTTCTAGTTTGATATGTATGTGTGTATGTATAAGGATAGACAGAGACAGATAGGGCTCTTTCACAGATGTACAACATATAACATAACAAAACAACAATAAAAGCAAAATATCATGGAAAGGAGTTATTTGGTCAAGAAGAAAACACAAAAACTGCATCATAAAATTCCAGGGCTTTGCAGTCAAGACTGTCAAATATGCATTCTAAGGGGCAGACCCTTTATTGGCATTCCTTGGACCATGTAACAAGGAAATCCAGAAATCCAGGACAACTACAGTGTTTTAGAGATAAGCCTCATTATCTGTGGTCTCATTATAACTTTCAGATAGGCGATCTGAGCAGAAATATTGACAACCTGACTGAGGGTGAGTAGGAAGGTAAGGTTTATTCCAGGGAAGTAGAGAGTAAAATCAAAAGCAAACAAAATGTTTCAGTGGTTATGGCAAATGATATCAAGGCAAATTCTAATCTGGAATAAAATAAGGAATAAAGATAAAATGATTCAGTAATGTCCCTCAAAATAGGAGGTTGGTTTTTTTTTTTTTTTTCCTGTCTTGCAAGTAAATGAGTACCTGCTCCTAACAGAAATGCACAGGAAGAGGCAGCCTGGAAGATGTCTTTTTAAATAAAAATGAACTGAATCCTTCAAATAATGGAGCTGGACTTCCTTAAGTCACTGATGATTCAGTCCAACTCTGGTATCCTCAATCAGAAGGTATACAGAGGATTGATGGCAATTATGTTGTTGGAGGAAAAAAATTATAGGATGGTGGACTTCAAAGAAAAAACAACAACCAGTTATGAGTCAAATCAACAAGATCATAAGGAATCGTTTAAATGACAAAAGGAGAAAGAATGCCCACAATTTAGGAATGCTCCTGAAGGTTCCAGTCAGTAAGAATGTTTGCCTTTCTCAAAAGTATTGGTCCACAAGAATATTTTTTTTTGTATTAGTTTCAGAAAAATAAGAGCCCAGAAACAAGGAAATAATGAAACAAAGCCCCAAACAATATGTGTCAGTAATGTTCCTTTCATGCACATATATTATATGGACTGACAAACTGGATGTAAGCTTGGTCCATAAGGAGGCCGGCTACTCAAGGGCAGGCATGTACTGTTTGGCCACACAGCATCCATTCAAGTGACTGTGAGGTCATGGTTTACTATGTACTCCTGGTGCCTAGTCCATGTACCACATATACCAAAGCTCCATGAATGGGGATGAGATACATAATGTGTGTAAAGGTATAATCTGCAATCATACTTTATTCTGTTGGAACAGAGGTTTGTGTGATTAAATTTTTCAGGTGCATCAGACAGGGACAACTGATGTCCTTAAAACCAATGTACTGCTGACAGTGGGCAGCTTTTTCGATTTTTGTACAAATCGGGAGTGGAAAAACATGGGTATGTAACCAAATCACTGCAACTAAAAAAGGAAAGCTACAGAATAATTTTGGTGATATTGTACTTGTTCTGGGGGTTGCCATGGAAATCTGGAAGCTAAGCTACTTCACTTTCCATATTTACCAAGTGACTCCTGTTCACTCTAATGGCAACCCCATCACATACGGGAGGCAGGATCTGTGTTTATCACAGAACTCACAGACGACGCCAGGAAAGCACATACAGAGCCAAGCCAAACTCACGCATCTTGGCAGGCCTGAACACGTCTGGCCCACTGAATACGCAGAACTGGAGAGTAAATATGAAACACAGATCTTTGACGTCACTTTGGGGGAGGTTTCCCATTATGCGTGGAAGTCTGTAGGAATTCAGGCTAACATATCAGCTTTCCATGATGCCAGAGTCTTGAGGTCAAAAGGAGGGAAAAAGGACTATTCT